TCTTTGCTAAATTCGTTGAGATTTGGTGGTGAGCGTATGCATGTTCTGGAATCGTCTGTACTAATGGTGGACAAAGAGGTGATCGTTTTAATTGTTTTCCGAGAAGTTTTTGAATGCTTTTTAATCTGTGTATACTTTGATAATTTCTTTCAATTCTGAATGTATGCACGCATTTTTGAAAGTGTTTTATACTTCTGAAGTGATGTGCGTTGCGACAGTCATTTGCCCTAATATGCTCACAGCAGTAGACTAACGGGTTTGGTTCATTAACTATTTAATCACTTTACATTTGCGAACGAACTGAGAAGCATAATCCTCAATTTCTCATTTAGTTATTGTCTTTTGGAGTACCAAAGATAAATAAGATGGAGAAAAGCAACTTTAAGACGGACGTATTTTTACAAAACTGTTTGACTTAGGTTTTTTCTGACGTCAGTTCATTTTTGATAATCTTCTGTTATTTCATCTTATCTGAAAGACTGATCACTTGTCTCACTGATTCAGTGCATTAGAAGTGTTCAGTTTTTTTGTTATATAAGAGAGGTTTTTTTGTCTTTGAAAAATTTACTTACCTGTGAAGAGTATTCGGCTTTTTTTCAGTTAGGTGGCTTCATCGCTTTTATTGGCTGTAACGAAATAAAGCCACAATTATTACGGTCACCGTTCATTGGCATTATTGGCTGGAAAGAAAATGGGGCCACCAAACTGAAAGAGCTCCGATATTCTTGGCATTGGTATTTCAAACTTCCTTCTACAATATTATCCTAGTTTGTGCTTGGGAAGAAGGCAATTTCTGTCTGTTAAGCAAGTGCAGAACAGTAAAGCTATTTTATATTTCTAATATTTTTATACCATTTCTGTTGTTTTGTCAAAGTTAGGTTGGCGTCTAAACAGATTAATTGTTACTGCTTTAAGGTCAGCTTCGGAACTGCTCGCTTCAAAGCCGGTTTTGCTAACGAATTTGTCACAAATGACTCCCGACAATCAAGTTAGTTTCATAAAAAAGTTACTGAAGAATTGGCCTTACAAAGTGGAAAGCAGGGCTATGATGTGGCCGGTACATGCACAGCTCGTCGCGAATTCGATAACTTCGTCACTGATTGGTAGCTTATTAGACCTTGTTGGAAGAGAAGCCTGTAATTAGACCGAAAAGTTGCGTTTAAACTCCTTAAATACCCGCTGGGATTTTTGCCGTTATTTCATGTTTAGGGATTTGAATTCACCATCATGGTATTCATGTCCTATCGGTCACTTAATGAAATGTTTGAAAAAAAAAAACAGGAGGACTCATTTTGGTAGCACTTTTTATAAATAATGCGTAAAAGCTTAGAAGAAAGATGATAAAAATTTTTTGTAACAGCATGGTTTGCTTTTTAACTTGGGCCAGAGGTGATGCTAGTGTTATCAGTTATTGCTGTAGTCTGCAGTTAATGCTGTTTTGATTTTTATCAGCAGTAGTTAAGCTGAGAATAAAATTTTTTTCAGTAATTTTCTTAACTTTAGTATGCTCAGTTTAAACCGAGAAATGCAACTGTGATTACAAATCACAAGTTTTTTGAACTGATTTGACATCAAAAGTATAAAATAGAATCATAGATTTTTTGCTGAGACTGTACCGTGCTGAGCATTTTAATGGCTTGTTGAGAAAAAAAGTATTTAGGTGTAGTACTGCTGTTATATTGCAGATTTTCATTCAAACGTGAGGAGTATTTTACCGGTAGATGTGGAGGCCTCCTGTTTAGCTAACTGCTTGATTTTAGCAACACGTATAAATTCGGAAATGATTTTAATGAGAGCAAATACACCATTTATCGACGCTGTGAGGCTGTGCCCCAAAGCTCCTTTGGTAATGGCAGTTTACGTTTCTGGTCTTTCTTCTCTGGGATTTTACAATACCTTCGTTGAGAAAATCACACACAGGTAGGTCTTTTTAGATTTTTATCGAATACTTTATAATACAAATAAATCTTGAAGTTCTTATATTAAATAAGTAAGCTGTCCTTCGCTGAAGCATTTTCTGCATGCCGCGATTAGAAGTGTTAACTTGATGTATCCTCTCCGAGGTGTCCTTTGTTTTGAATACTTCCTCCTTAACGTCCCAAAGATGTTTCACAGCTTAATTTTTTAAGTAAAGAAGGTTTTGAAATGCGATTTTCATTTGGATACCTAGTTCTTAAAAAGGGGTTTTGAGGGAGCCAGGTTTTTCTCTGTATTACGGATGATTTTTAGTTTCCAGATGTAAGTCAAGTGTGGCTTCATGGAAGGTACAAATAATATGAAATTTAGTTGTTTTAGATGAAAAAGCTGTTTATTTTTCTCACATAGTTTCGGATTATGTGCGCACTATGCCTCGTTACTACACCTTGTGCCTCAAAAAGACCATTTAGGAGTTCTTTGTCGTAATTTCTTTTTAAATGACGGTGGGAGGTGCAGCGGCTTCATTTGGTTTTTCTGCTCTTAGCTTTTGAGATTGGTTCTAATTCTATTCGTTACTTCAGATTTAACGATCAAATAAAAAAATTTGAAATCATAAATTTTACGTGGGACTCTTAAAGCCATGTAGTCAATGTGGAATTTTGCTAACCATCATTAAGAGGCTCAAGTTATCTCTTATTTTACCATTCAGGACATTTTTTTCTTAACTCATTCACAAGTCAGCGAGCAACA